ACGCTTGCGCATTACCAATTATTAAACACTCCTCCTACTCTTTCTTGGAGAGCCAATAAGCATCTATCTTCTATCCTTCAGTGTTGGAACAAGTCCCGCTTATGGAAAACTTGCTCAACTAGCCATATAGGAGTATTATATATATGTTTTTTTACATCAGTTTCAGCCGCTAGTTTTAGCAGAGAGAAGACTGAGAGCGGCCATGCCATTGTTGTTTTTTACGACGGTTTCCAGCCGCTACTTTCAGCGCCGGGTTCCACTTTGTGTGGAATTCGCGAACTACAAAACGAGTTCCACTTTCAGACGCATACGATACAAATGTACCTCGGTTAGAGTCCGTGCTAAATCCACTTTCATTCATGTCGTTGGACGACGGACGTCAAGCTCTCAGTCTTCTCTCTGGTTTTAGCACTATGTTCACAAAAGTGAATCTCAAAGCCCGTTTCACATTAAACGCAAGCCGCAGGTCTCGCGAAACTGACCAATCACGTTGGTCGATTGGCTGATTTGACTCTGCGATTGGTCAATTCCACGAGATTTTTGACTTGTTAGTCAAAACTACGACTTGTTAGTTAAAACTGTAGTATCAAAAGCAAGAAAAGTTACAGTTTACGTCTCATCCACTTTTAATTTTTGTAACACACGCTGGATACATTACTTTACAATTTCGGATAGTTTATGTGAATGTGAGATCAAGGATACTCGAAGTTAAGTGATACTATTAAAAATATATATCGCGCAAATATCTCTCGCTGAAGCTATTCGATCTTAAAAATAATAAATTACAAAAAGAACTGCAAATATATTTAAAACTACATATTATGCGATTATGTAGAACAGTCCTTTTTTAAAAGTTATATATACAGAGCGTGTAGGAACATTATCGTACAATAGTTCTCTGTCGTCGAGGAATATTTTTGGACCGTGAAGCGATTTTCTCCTCTTTTCAGTCTCCTTGCGAAATCGGAGAACCACGATCGCGCTTCGACGAAGTTTTTCCTTTGCCCTTCGATTTCGTTTCTCGCTTCCTGCTGATGGACGAAGTCGACGTAGTCGACGCCGAGTCAGCTGGACTGGAGTGACTCGAACCTTCCCGTTCCCATCGTGTTAACGCCTCTCTCAGATTCTGACCGTCGCTCTCCTCGTACGTGTCCACGTCCACTTGAAGATTATCCTGGCCGTTGATACTAGACTCCAAGTTGGCACGTATCTCCTTGCGTTGATCATCTGTATGCTGCGGACAGCGCACCGATCTGGTGCAGAGTTTCTTTGTGTGTTCGGACACGACGCCGCAAATCTGCGTGAGAAGTGCCCGTTTGTCTATGAGCGACATGTTTTCGTAGTTCGAAGGTGAGTTCTCGTTGCTGCTCTGAACGTTGTGCTCGCCACCGCCGACAACGTTGCTGGTCTCACCGTTTCTCTGTGAGCCGCTGCTGCCAGCGCTTCCGTGCTTCTGTTGCTTGCCCGAACGCTTGCTCACGCCGTTGCGATCTTTGCGTGGACGTTTGCGTTTGCTGTCGTTGGTCAAACTCCAATCTACGTCGTCGTCGTCGTCGCTTAACACTCCGCCGTAATTATTAAGATCCTTTGAATTGTTAGCAATTCGAAGTGACGCAATACGCGAACTATTTCTACCCATGCCCATGCACTTCTCCAGATGTGTGGCGAATCTGCATGCAGCCACACCGCGCTCGCAGTTCGGACAGGTGCATTCCTGAGATTTCTTCACTGGATGCTGGCCAAAGATATCCAGCCCAGGTGAATCTGAGACCAACCAGTTTTCATGTAACATTGTGTATCATATAAATTAATATTTCAAAAATTGGAGCAACAAAAACAAATCTGTTTTACTAACCAACAATAGCATATGATTCGTCATCAGGAATGCCTTCTTCAACGTCAGAATTGCCAGTCTTGGTGGTGCGATGTACGTCAAAAACAAAGCCCATTAGCACTTCCTCCAACAAGTCTTCATAAATTTCTTTCGTAGCTACCTCGACGTTGTCCGGTTTGCTCATAAACTCCAGGAAACACTGATTCAGCTCTTGAATTCTTTCTTCGGTGACTGACATCCTGACACTTGCAATATCTAAACTTCGTGAATTTGTTTATAATTATATCACTTCTAAGCACCTTAAACATTTTGTTATTTGAGACACACCTTGTAGATTACAAAATAAACTTATTAACCTATATTAAGATGTAAGGAATCAATAGGACAAAATTATATTTAGATAAAATGCATGCATGTACGCGGTCAGAGAAAGAGCAGTGAGGCCGTCAAATAATTAAATACTCTTTGATAAACGCAAACTTGCGATTTTCCGCCAAAGAAAAATACTGTAATAAGATCATACCTGAGCACTGTTATGGTTACGGTTGTTTACAACAGTTATGCTGTGACAACGTGCGTCACGCTTGTATCATCCTCGTATCATCCGCGTGTGTGCAAAAATTTGCAACATCAAAAATTGCAAATCATGTGATGATCGAAGTGATGTTTCTTCTCTTTCCGCGCAAGAACAATTATCGTTCGGAGTTTCATAAATGTGTGCAAAGAAAATTTAAGACCGATATGTCGAACGCGCGACATACACGCACGCAAAGCGATGACAATCGCATGTGCGTGCACATCACTCATACCAATGTATGCTCACGTGCGTTAAGTCAGCGCGACGAATAGACAGCGACGTACGGCACATGCGCGAACATCTTACGCAGGGGGTACAAACTCACTCCTAAGAAAAGTGGGGACAGTTTTCAGCGCCGTCTACGGCGAGGACCACATTCTTTGCGAACTAAAAAAAGTAGTGGGGGTACCGGCGCCGCGTTTAAATCGCTCGCGCGTATGGAGGCAAAATGAAATTATAAGTTTTTGAGCAATTATTAAATTTAACCATTATTTCTATTATATGAAGTTACTTTACAAAATAGTTATACAAAAAAATGTTTTTATTTAATACATAAATAAAAAGCATTTTGGTATA